CCATACGGGCCGGCCACGCCGGAGGCTGCAGCACCACCTCTTTGCTTACAGCATCTCTCATGCCGTGACCTTAAGTTCTTCGAGCCGGCCTGTCGGTGCCGGGGGAGGAGGTGGCTTAGAGTCGCCCTCCTGCCCAAACGACTTACAAGCACGTGCGAAGATTTCTTGGTGTCTTCTTGGCCGTGGCTGATGCCACGCTTAGGTCCCCTTGAACGTAGCTAGTCACCGTGCAACTCGGGCCGTGAGCAACCACCCGACACCCCACGAGGCGTTGTTTGCCATTCACTGGAGGCTGGCTTGGAGTTCTCCATGTGCCGACAAACACTGAAGCTTCGGAGGTTGTGTGGCAAACTGAATGACTTGTCCGTCATCTAGCTCGCTTTGCTCAAATTCCTTTCAAGCGCGACGACGATGTGTGGGCCAAGTTCCCGATCTTCCAGCTTCACAGAGCCGATGTGGATTCGTCGTCCGAACAACCAGATCAGACCAATTATAAATGCTAGCTTCCCCGATGCCAAAGCATCCGATTGCCGTTAATGCTCCTATCACTGGGGCATACCATCACCGCCGGAGGTTGAGCACAGCATCGAACGGATTCCTGCCGCATGCCGTCCTCCTCCCCAGCTTCACCCTTCACCTCGTCCAGCATCCTGGCATGTTCAACATGTAGCAACTGGAGTCAGGAAGCTGAGTGCACACCCTCGCACAACTAGCCGAATTTTGGACTTGCGCTCAAGACGTCTGCGGCGCAAGCGTCCACATGAAGAGACTGAAGCATGTGACATTACACATGTTAGCCAGTTCAAGCACTACATACAGCAAAGCAAATGAGCCCTGTCACCACGGATGATAATAACAGACGCGAATTTCTCAAACATACAACTGAACAGCTTCAAGATCATCCCTACCTGTAACATCCCTGCCTTCTCACCATTTCCTGAACGACCGGTCGCTTCAGGATTTCGGCCTCACATGGGCAGCCGGTGCGGTGGCTGTGCTCCAGCAAAATGGGAAGAGGTTGCATCGCAGCTTCTTGCCAGGGCACGGCAGGCGGACGTTTGTTGGGGTCCCTGTCCAGCAGCTCCTGAACAAAAAACCAAGCCAACTCCGGATTCCAACTAAAAACCAGTGCCTTTCCGAGGTTGCGAACTCCAACGGAGTAGTCCGCGGGGATCTCAGGGACAACAGAGACCCCTTGTTTAAAAAAAAGCAGGAAGCTTGGTCGCAGCATGTCGCAGCGTTTTTGCTCGGGCCTCCGGTGCCGGCTCTTTGGTGATCTTGTGGATGAGGCTCTTCCTCACCGAGGCTTTAACACCACAGAGAGCAGAGAGCATAGAGGAAGTCTTCTGGAAAGGCTCAGATCTGGCGCATCGAATGGCACTTTCCTGCAACCGTAAGACTTCAGCACCGCAACTGTGCACTTCTACCCTCTGCCTGGCACACATCTCGTAGAGGATGCACCCCATGCTCCAAATATCGGAGCTCCAGGCATAGTTCTTACCCTGGCAAATCTCTGGTGAGAGGTAGTATGGCCTCAGCACAAGCATGAAGGAAGTATCCACCACTGCCATTTCTGATGAAGCAGTCAGTGAGCATGCATGTGAGCGCTTGGATCTACGCGTGCCAATCTGCGTCTGTGCACACGCCGCTGTGCATTCCAGGACCTGGGGAAAGGATCAACCGAGCAAGCCATGGGCGAGCCCACAAAGAGCTCACACTCTGCCTTGGCGATGCCGAAATCACCCATCTTGATGTTGCCTAAGTCACCCGAGCCACGAGCACCTCAAGAAAACTCTTCGCATCTGTCAGCTTTCGAGGAAATGGCCGCTCTTCGACAAGAAGAAATTCCCGGATTTTAGATCTCTGTGGAGGATGTGAAGGTCGTGGATATACTTCAAGGCAAGAATGGCCTGTCAGGCCGGCAAGACGAAATGCGGCCTCGTGAGTTTGAAAACTAAAACCCATGGAGCCTGTGTAAACCACCTGACGACCTGATCCTGCGGAAAGATCTTCGAGGACTGCCTAACCGCCAAGCACAGCTGCAGAGCTGGAAGGAGCACTTCAAGCAGTGCCGAAACGCCTTGCATTCTTTATTCTTCCCGAGAGATCACCTCCTTCACAGTAGTCCATGACGATGCAAAGCCAGCCATCCTTGCGCGATGCTTCGTGTCATCGAGCAGGATGGTACTATCTGTGCCTCGTTGAAGCTTTCTCTGTACCGGACGATGTACGGGTGCTTCAAAGAGGCCAGCACCTGACGGGAAGCACATTCCAGCCGGAATCCCATCAGCAATTTTCTTAGCAAGCCTTGCTCTCTTTCAAGGCATCGTCTTTCTCTTGTTTAGAAGCACGGCTGATGTCTATCATCTTCACGATGGCCTGGCGGCACCACATTGCACAGCTGATCCTGTGGGAGAGACGGGGACCTCTGAATGAAAGGCAGCTGGCTATCAAGACTGCGCTCTCAGGCATGCTTTAGCGTTTGCATCAACATTAAGGGCCTTGGCAGACTTATACCTTGTGCAGGCAGCCTGCTCAAACTGCAATACGAAGTTGAAACTCCGAAGAAATGCTTGACGAATCCACCTTGTGTGATCGAAAACGCAGTTAACCACTGGGTAGCAAGTCGGGCCCCAACCCGTCAGTGCGCATGACGTTCCACTTCACGACACTCGGAGCTGCTCTGTGACAACATCTCCCTTGCCTTGGTGTCGCGCTCCTTGTCGGTATCGTGCTGGCAGAGGATGGCCGCTCCGAAGGAGCCCTCGCCAACCTCGCACGTTTTGGGCAGCGGCTGAGCGGTAGCGGAGTGGCGGTAGCGGGGCGGCAGGGCACCTTCTTGATGAAGGCATAGTGGTGCTTGCCTCGGAAAGTACTCAAACTTTCGGGCAGGCAAGCCCGCTGCGCCTGCGCCGCAAACGAGACGAGGAGGGGACCCAGAGCTGCCTGAATGCGTCCATGGGCCATGGGGCCCGGCCTGCTGCAAAGTGCAAACACGCCCGGAGGCCCAGTCGACGCCGGCCCACCTTCAGGCCAGGGCCTTTGACTCGCAGCTGCCGGCTTGATCCACTGCCATAAAGAGTGCAGAAGATTGATCCAATCCGCCGTCTTGGGGGTTACCTCAGGTACCCGTTTGGAGACACTCGTTTTTTGCGTTCGTTTGCCACCCCTTTGTCCGGCTTCCCTTCATTTTAGCTGATTTGTCAGCCTGCCCCCCTCCCCCCTCCCCCTTGCCCTCCTCTCCCCCCCCCCCCAAGCCAGGAGGTTCCTTCTTTCCAGGTTCCTTCCGTCGCCGTCCACGGCCGCAGCATGACCAGCAAAAGAGCAGTACCGGAAGATAGCGCTCGCACAATCGACACTCACCCGTTTCGAGGTTGGGGTTGAGAGGCCCGCCTAGCATGCTGTATACAACATCCACTGCCGCCTCGCCCTGCCGCTACAGAGCCGAGGCGGGCGGCGTAGCGTTAAAATTAAGTGTGTTCGCTGTAAACATGGATGCGCGACTCTTGTTCAAAAAGAACAGCATGACGTTTCATTAGCAGAGTCAGCAGCATGCGCGCAGGAGAGGCAGCGGGGCCATGGTTCTGACCCCGGGGTAGATGGGGGCCGTCATAGCACACGGCAGCTGTATGTCCCAGTTCGTGTGGGTCAACGACATGCCCCCCGCCAGCCCAGTCAAAGCTTTAGACTTCTGATTGGGTTTTAAGGATGCTTAGGGCTTAAGCCCACGGATTCAAGCCCACATCCCTGGCAGCCCAAGACGAAGCTACGCTTTGCGCCGAGTCTGAAACCCCGGCATGGTACCGAAGCTGACAATTGATCCGAAACCGTCCTCGCACCACGTTGCGATCGCCCTGAACTGCAGCACCAAAACCAACCAACCCCGGAAAGCCTGAAACTCACACATTTCTTCTCTTCTCGCTTCCCTCATAGACCGCATTTTCGTCTCTGCTGGCTTGGCCAGGGTCCCGTTTTGGAAGCACAAGCAAGGTGAGAGCCAAAGCCTCGTGGCCGGAGGTCAACAGTCCAAGAGCTGTTACGAGAGCTGAGGCTCTGAGTCTTCAGCTAGTCGTCCGTCTTATCCATCAGCGTGGGAGGGGCCTCCGTACGAGATGCGGCTTCTCCACAACAGCCAACACACATGAAAAACAAGGCTTCGGCAGTTGCCACCGGAGACTTCTTCTGCGAGTTCAAGTACTTAGCACCTGACACCGCAAGCCAAGGTGGGCCAAGCTGGTGTAACTTTCTGAAGGGATCTGAGCAGTGGGCGGAAGGAGTCCCCGAAAGGCTCTGGTCCCAGCCGAGCTCCGTAGTTCTGGCAGCAACACCCGGAGCCCCGACACTTGCGGCATGGAAGGCTTCGAGGGATGAGACGCTGTACTCGCAACCAACGCTATGTGAGCCTTCTTGGAGCAAGCGACGCCTCTGAGCATGGGGATGCTCTTCTGCGTGCCCACTGCTTTCACTTCCCTGGCAAAGCGTCACAAGTTCATCTTTGCACTGTCACTGTATTGCCACGACCCCATTTGCAAAGCAGAGTTGCCGCAGCCGATTTTCGGCACGGCGGTCCATGATGAATCTGCAGCCATACTTGCTTAGATGTGACACTTGCGCAGATCCTGGTGAGGCCGCTACAGGGTTCGATCCACCTTGGGGTGCCCAGTCCAAACCTGCGTTCGTTGCGAATCCGAACTTCCTCCACGAGCTGACTCCCGCCTGGGACACCAGCTTGCCAGGCTGATTCTCCTCAGGAGAAGAGCAGAAAAGCCAGCGTCTGCACAGCTCGTCTGCTCGTCGCCTCGATGTGGGGAGGAACTGTCACGGTCCCGATGGAGCTGCGACGCAGGTGGACGTAGCGGGGCCTCGAGCCACTCGGACCAGAAACAAACTGAAGTGTGGATGTTGTCAGGTTTATGGTTTTGTAGGCTTCAGGCTTCGCCACCCGACACCTCCTTTTGAGACTTACGCTTCTCCTCCTGACATCTTTTCTTAACTTTTTAAACAGAACGCGTCAAAATACGGGCCTGCGTTTGTGTATAGTTATGTTTAGGCTTTTATGTTCTGCAAACGCTAAAGCTGTATCGTAACGTGATTATAAGTACATTGTATTCAATGCAAAGGTAGGTACCAATAAAGAACTGATTGGCAAATATATTCAAGTGGAGGCAATTCATATTCACAGATTAATATAGAAAACAAACCACAGCAGGGAGACGTGGGACGGCTGGCGTCGTATGCGTGCACCGCGGGGCCGCCGGGGGGGGGGGGGGGGGGGGGGGAGGCGGGGGCGCAAAAAAAAAAAAAAAAAAATAATAATAGTAATAATAATAATAATAACAATATATATATATATATATATATTATATATATATAATATGGTCAGGCGTCTGGCGTTCCCAGCCCCCCCCCCCCCCCAATGGTATGGTCTGATAGGGGGGGGGGGGGGGGGGGGGGGGCCTGGCGTGTGCGGAAAGGGGTTGGGGGCTCTGCCATTGGATGGTGGGGTGGTGCTGGCGGCCAGGGCTCACGCGCAAGCCCTTCGCACGCAAGCCGTAAACCCTATAACGCAGCGCGTGCCCCCGTTTTGAGCTCTCAACCTTAACTTGTACTTAAAACGCTGCACCCAACCTAAACCCCACCTAACTGCAGGCTCTAAGCCTAAAGCAGAGCATACACCGCAAATCCTCCCCAAGCCCTGGTCGACTCGAAGCCTTATACCTTTTAACCGTAAACCCAAAACTCAAAAGCTTAAGCTAAACCCTAAACCCCAAAACCCCACAACCACCCCACAGGGGGAAGAGGAACCCCACACCCCACACCACAGGGGAGGGGGGGGCCCCGTGTGCGGCTTAAACCGGGTTTATTTGGAAGCTGGTGCTTGCACTCTAGATAGGGAAACAGTGACCTAAATCCCTTATATATAAACAAGAGCCAGCTTCCAAATAAACCCGGTTGGGGGTCCCGGGCGGGGACAGGGCCGGGAATTAAATAATTTAAATAATTTAAATCCTGGCCGGGGGGGTTCCCGGGGGCCCCGGGCCCCAGGATTTAAATAATTTAAATAATTTAAATCCTGGGGAAGGGCTCCGGATTTAAATTATTTAAATTATTTAATTCCCGGGGCCCTGGACCCCCGGGGACCCCTCCCCTTCAGGATTTAAATTATTTAAATTATTTAAATTATTTAAATTATTTAATTCCCGGCCCCATTTAAATAATTTAAATAATTTAAATAATTTAAATCCTGGCCGGGGGGGTTCCCGGGGGCCCCGGGCCCCAGGATTTAAATAATTTAAATAATTTAAATCCTGGGGAAGGGCTCCGGATTTAAATTATTTAAATTATTTAATTCCCGGGGCCCTGGACCCCCGGGGACCCCTCCCCTTCAGGATTTAAATTATTTAAATTATTTAAATTATTTAAATTATTTAATTCCCGGCCCCATTTAAATAATTTAAATAATTTAAATAATTTAAATCCTGGCCGGGGGGGTTCCCGGGGGCCCCGGGCCCCAGGATTTAAATAATTTAAATAATTTAAATCCTGGGGAAGGGCTCCGGATTTAAATTATTTAAATTATTTAATTCCCGGGGCCCTGGACCCCCGGGGACCCCTCCCCTTCAGGATTTAAATTATTTAAATTATTTAAATTATTTAAATTATTTAATTCCCGGCCCCATTTAAATAATTTAAATAATTTAAATAATTTAAATCCTGGCCGGGGGGGTTCCCGGGGGCCCCGGGCCCCAGGATTTAAATAATTTAAATAATTTAAATCCTGGGGAAGGGCTCCGGATTTAAATTATTTAAATTATTTAATTCCCGGGGCCCTGGACCCCCGGGGACCCCTCCCCTTCAGGATTTAAATTATTTAAATTATTTAAATTATTTAAATTATTTAAATTATTTAATTCCCGGCCCCATTTAAATAATTTAAATAATTTAAATAATTTAAATCCTGGCCGGGGGGGTTCCCGGGGGCCCCGGGCCCCAGGATTTAAATAATTTAAATAATTTAAATCCTGGGGAAGGGCTCCGGATTTAAATTATTTAAATTATTTAATTCCCGGGGCCCTGGACCCCCGGGGACCCCTCCCCTTCAGGATTTAAATTATTTAAATTATTTAAATTATTTAAATTATTTAAATTATTTAATTCCCGGCCCCATTTAAATAATTTAAATAATTTAAATAATTTAAATTTAAATAATTTAAATCCTGGCCGGGGGGGTTCCCGGGGGCCCCGGGCCCCAGGATTTAAATAATTTAAATAATTTAAATCCTGGGGAAGGGCTCCGGATTTAAATTATTTAAATTATTTAATTCCCGGGGCCCTGGACCCCCGGGGACCCCTCCCCTTCAGGATTTAAATTATTTAAATTATTTAAATTATTTAAATTATTTAAATTATTTAATTCCCGGCCCCATTTAAATAATTCAAATAATTTAAACAATTTAAATCCTGGCCGGGGACCGACCCTCAGCGCCCACCCATCGTCCCAACCCCCCCCACCCACCCTTCCTCCCACTTCACACTCCCTCCACCTCCTGCCCACCCTACCTCCCAAACACCCTCCCACCACCCTCTCACCCACCACTTCAAGGGCTAGGGATCCCACACATCTGCGGGCAAAATCTGGCGGAAGTGATCCGCCACCGAGCAAACAGCCTGTAAATACCGCATTAAACAAAGGGCCAGGGATTTCGCACATCTGTTGGCAAAATCTGGCGGAAGTACCGACTGCTCACTTCCGCCAGATTTTGACAACAGATGTGTCAAATCCCTGGCCCTTTGTTTAATGCGGTATTTACAGGCATTTTGCTCGGTGGTGCATCACTTCCGCCAGATTTTGCCCGCAGATGTGTGGGATCTCTGGCCGTTGTTTTAACGCGGTATTTACAGGCTTTCTGCTCGGTCGCGGCTCGCAGGGATTAGGGGGACACCCCTTGCGATCTGTGGTTTTCGGATCTGAGTTTTCACAAGACCTGAAGGGGACACCCCTTGCGATCTGTGATTTTGGGATCTGAGTTCTTACAAGACCTTAGGTGGACACCCCTTGCGATTTGTGATTTTGATACTTATATTTGTTACAAACACATTTAGGGGGACACCCCTTGCGATTTGTGATTTTGGAACTTATTTGATATAAAAACCTTCAGGGGGACACCCCTTGCGATCTGTGTTTTGCGGATCTGAGTTTTCACAAAACCTTAGGGGGACACCCCTTACGATCTGTGATTTTGGGATCGGCGTTTTTACAAAACATAAGGGGACATTCCTTGCGATTCGTCATGTTGGGATCTAGCTTGCGCGAAAGCCTTTAGGGAGACATCCCTTGCGATTTGGTATTTCGGGATCTACTTTAGCGCAAAAGCCTTCAGGGGACACCCCTTGCGATTTGTGATTTTGGAACTTATTTGTTATAACAACCTTTAGGGGGACACCACTTGCGATCTGTGCTTTTCGGTTCTGAGTTTTCACAAAACCTTAGGGGGACACCCCTTGCGATCTGTGATTTCGGGATCTGAGTTCTTACAAAACCTTTTTCGGAACACCCCTTGCGATTTGTGATTTTGGAATTCATTTGTTATAAAAAGCTTTAGGGGGACACCCCTTGCGATCTGTGATTTCGGGACCTGAGTTCTTACAAAACCTTAGGGGGGACACCCCTTGCGATTTGTGATTTGCGGATCTGAGTTTTCACAAAACTTAACGGGGACACCCCTGTAGGGGGACCTCCTCACGATCTGTGATTTTGAGATCGGCGTTTTTACAAAACCTAAGGGGACATTCCTTGCGATGTTGGGATCTAGCTTGCGCGAAAGCCTTTAGGGGGACATCCCTTGCGATTTATTATTTCGGGATCTGTTTTAGCGCAAAAGCCTTTAGGGTGACACCCCTTGCGATTTGTGATTTTGGAACTTATTTGTTATAACAAGCTTTAGGCGGGCACCACTTGCGATCTGTGCTTTTCGGTTCTGAGTTTTCACAAAACCTTAGGGAGACACCCCTTGCGATCTGCGTTTTTGGGATCTCGAGTTTTTACAACACCATAGGTGGACACCCCTTGCGATCTGTGATTAACCTGTAGGGGGACACCCCTTGCGATTTATTATTTTGGAACTTGTTTTTTCAACGAACCCTTAGGGGGACACCCCGTGCGATCTGGGTTTTTGGGATCTGAGTCTTTACAAATCTTGGGGCGACACCCTTGTGATCTGTGATTTTATCTGTGTTGTTGCAGAACTTCAACTAAAAGCAAATTTCTTGCCGACGAATGGGTAGATGGAGCTCTCTTGTTTTTCGTGAAGTTGAAGGGGCCTGTCTGCTGTGCTGAGATGGACCTCTCTCCCGTCTCATTACATGGGAGGAGGCTCTCAATCATTTCTTGTGGAGGATGAGGTAGAAGACTTTTCTTTTTGGAAGCAAGAGGGGCCCTGGCTTCTCTTGCTAGGAGCGAAGTCTCTTCAATCTTCTTAACATAAAAGCGACTTACCAAGAGGTAAAGGCTCTCTCTGCTCGAATAAAGCTCTCGTCTCTTACCAAGAATAACTTGGATTGAACTCTCTTCCTGCTTCACAGCAGGGTAAGGTAGAGGGCTTGGGCTTCTCGTTTCGTTTTGAAGGCCGCGGGGAGGACCGGCCTTTCTCTTGTCAAGGTTTGAAATTTGGAAAAGCTCTATCCTTCCTTCCTGATCGTAACCTCCCTTCCAAGTTTTTTCTCGAGGAGGAGATGTTCAGGAGCTGTCGGTCCTGACGAACAGAGAAGAAAGAAGTTTTCTTCTTATCGCCAGAGAGGCAGTCGGAGCTCCTTTGTTTCTCGTGATGCGCTGTTCTTTTGCCACGAACAACCTGCGGGGACT